ATCCAATGACACCCACTATGCATAAAATATTAATGCATAGTGCCACTGTGATCAAAAATGCCTTGCTTCCAATAGGACAGCTTTCCGAAGAAGCAGCAGAAGCTAGGAATAAACATTTTCGGCAATACCGCCAGAATTTTGCAAGAAAGTTTTCCAGGGTATCATGTAATTTAGATGTTATTAATAGGCTCTTATTGAGTTCCGATCCACTTCTATCAAGTTTGAGGGGAATTCGAAGGAAGAAAACAAAACCATATTTAAATGAGACGCTACAAATGTTACTGCCAGCTAAGCCTACTTTCCAGAATCCAAATCAGACTACAATTGAATCTGAGACTTTTTATGATAGCGACGACATTTCGGACGAAGAATTATGGCTTTCCTGATTTTTGAAATATTCGTTTTTAGTCCAGTGAAAATTAGCTATTTGAGGAATTATTGCTTTATTTAAAATAGCTATTTATACAATAAGTTACGAAATGAGCGTCTTTTAGGCACGCGACGTGAAAATTGTCCAACGAGGCAAAGCCGAGTTGGACAACACGTCGAGTGACTAAAAGACATCGTTTCGTAACGTATTGTATACAAGATTTTTTCTACTGGCATTTTATAATAAAAAAACACAATTTTATTTCATGTGAATAAGTCGATTACACCCAAAATCTTTGTTACCTGCTTTTACTTGACACCTGACACTTTTCATGCGATTTTCTTTTCAAAATTCGACATCAATAATTAAAATCCTAGAAAGTAGGTAATAACACAAACTTCTGTTTTGAGTAACCCAAACGTTCAATTCAGTAATTCCATTTTCAATATTCATAATAAATACAAAACAAAATTCAAATATGTGTTTAGTGTGTTTTTTATTTCTGAATAATGAATGACACTTTTAGGCACTAGTGCTTGAAAATTACTTTTACGCACTCATAAGTCACTTTTACGCATTCAAAAGTCACTTTTACGCACTGAGTGCCTAAAAGTAACTTTCACGCACTCAGTGCCTAAAAGAATGTCGTTTCAAAACTGAAATGACAATCGAAAAGTTGCTATTATGAAACGTCAGTAGAAAAATATATTATTATTTTGCCGTTAAACGAAAATATACTAATTTTCCTATGATTAATACATTCTGTCTCCTAAAAACATAATAAATCAGTAATAAAACACATTTTGGATTAACTGAACCAGAGATATAATTTTGGCCTTCTAGATCGATTAAATACCGCTATGTGCATTGGTTCGGAGATGCTGCCTTGACTTGAATAGTAGCTTTCTCTAATTAAACTCATGAAGTCTGGTGCTGGTGAATGTGATGATTCGGAAGGTTGAGAAATGATCGACAACAACTGGCTCATCCTGTGTTGGAGTACCTACTCTCAGTTGAAATAAGTTCCGGTGCCAGTTCTCATTTTAAGGCAGATCTATTATTCAATAGTGTTATTTGGAGCTTAATTACTTTAAAGCGTTAGGTATAGATACAAGAAACAGGTGACCAAATTTTCCATTTTTTGTTAATTAGGAGAAAAAATCTCCACCTTTGGATCTTAATTATAAAAATTGCAATTTAATAATTTTATTTATTAATTGACGACATGCAAAATGCAAACGAAATGTTTCAATAACATTTGGAGCAGTAATTTCTTGAAAAGCACAGTCCAAGGTTATCTACAATATTAATTTAAATGCATAACGATGACCTTTGAATATAAGGAAAAAATTTATAAAAGTTCCCAGTTCCCAGGATTAATAATAATTAAGGTGAATGTGATCGATTTTGCTCAAGCTCCAATAAAGCGTGACCCGTTAAAGTACACGGTTTCTGGATGAGGCAATGAAGAAATCCCAGTCCAAACTTCCCAAATATGAATATTTGAACACACGAAAGTCGACCAGCAAAGAGTAATTTTTTCCCATTTTGAGATCCGACAACTTATGACTAGGTCATTTCACGGAAGCGAATCGTATAAGAGAGATATTATTTTATACTCATCAAATTGTTTCTCAACGTCTCGATCATTATTGAAAGGTCCTTGTCCTGGAAAATAAAATATTTTCCGGCTTGAGGGTATTGTACTTATTGTATATTAGATAATCATAATCAATAACATGAGTCCAACTTATAACGAATAACGAATATAAAACATTATTCTTCTGCAAACAACAACTGTGAGAAAATACTATGATATCTTTGATCGTAATTTTTCCATACACGTAGAATATTTTAACGTTTTTCTGATAGTTGTTTTTCTTATTATTCTCCGTAAGCAAATTTCAATTGCCCGAATCGATTATTAAGGCTAGCATTTCCCGGATGCACAATAATCATAGGTACACATTTTCTAATTAACTAACCCATCCCATTAAACTCAGATTTTGGACTGATGATACATGGAGCGCAGAGTACGCCAATGACCATATACCATTCAAAAATGTATCATGATACAATATTATGTTTGTTGATAACAATGATAAAACACATATTTTCTTGTGTGAGTTATTTGTAGTTTGAACTGTGAAATTAGTGATTTTTGGTTTTTATTTGGTAAGAGAAATTTGTTTTCGGCAATTTCATTTAACTTTTGATTTTGAATTGATCTAAGTATGACTGTTATTTATCACCGTCGCGTGAAAGCTATACTTACAATAAGTACAATATTGTATATTAACAGTTACATACATTATTTTATTGGCCTTGACTCTAGAATTATTACGCTTTTGTTTACTTGGTCCTCTAGACTTGATTAACTTATAACGAATCTACTGTTGCGAAAAGAACTTAATAAATAAATTCATATTGTTAAATTGTGTGGTGTTGGTCGATTTTGTCTATATAGGTAAGAAGAGAATTATAATGTTTTTTCACAAAATTTATAAATCCGTGCTTTTGTGTCATTGTTCAGTTTAAATGTACAGCCAGCCTGTGCCAACTTCGCGATTTCTTGTGCGAGCTTTCCGTGACGTAATAGACTGTGAGATAGGGGCTGTTTAGTGGAGTCTTTTTTTTTGTCTGGCATTTTGAGGGCTGAATGTGGCTACTAAGCTGATGAGAATATGGGTGATTTTAATGCCTGCCTTAGCAATCTTAACATTTTCATTACTAAATATTTTTTTAATTTGAGGATTAAGTTGTTTTATGTATGGTATAGAACAATAAAATATATTATTGTTTATATTATTATTGATGTTTTCTTCTTAATTATTAATGATATTATTATACCTATTATTATTATTAAAAATAATTTTCTTCAAAAATTGTTGAGGATATGAATTATCCAAAAGTATATTTTTTAATTTAATGAGATTGTTCTGAAATAATGTTGGATGAACTAATTTTTGAATTCAATTTGTCATTTCTAATATCAAATTAACTTTCATTTGATTACTGTGGTAAGAATGATAATTTAAATAGCGTTGTGAATTTGTTGGTTTTATGTATCAATCTGTTATTAATGTATTATTTTGTTTAATTATTAGTGTGTCTAAAAAGGGGATTGTGTTTTTGTTTTCCATTTCAATAGTAAATTTCAAATGTTTATAATTATTAAATACATTCAAAATTTCATCAGTTTTATCACAAGGTATGCAACAAATTATATTATCTACAAATTTTTTAATAAAGAAAACATCACATGAAAGATTTCTCAAACAATCATCAATTAAATCATCTATTACATATTGTGCAATAATTGGTGATATAGAATTACCCATTGGTGTCCCAAAAATTTGTTTATAAAAATTATTATTGAAAGAAAAATAATTTGAGTTGAATATAAATTTGATAGATTCAATGAATTTTTCTTTAGTGAGATTACAATTATTTGTTATGTTAACCCAATGTTTATTTATACTCTCATCATATCATAAAATTTGTTGCATACCTGGTGATAAAACTGATGAAATTTTGAATGTATTTAATAATTATAACCAACATTTGAAATTTACTATTAGAAAACAAGAACATAATCCCCTTTTTAGACACACTAATAATTAAACAAAATAATACATTAATAACAGATTGGTACATAAAACCAACAAATTCACAACGTTATTTAAATTATCATTCTTACCACAGTAATCAAATGAAAGTTAATTTGATATTAGGAATGAAAAATAGAATCCAAAAATTAGTTCATCCAACATTATTTCAGAACAATCTCAATAAATTAAAAAATATACTTTTGGATAATTCATATCCTCAACAATTTTTGAATAAAATTATTTTTAATAATAATAATAGGTATAATGATATCATTAATAATCAAGAAGAAAACATCAATAATAATATAAACAATAATATTTTTTATGTCATACCAATACATTATTGTGTTTTTATACCTTAGATACCATCTACATAATTCATTACTTTATGCCCGTGCGGGCATAAAGCACACATTATGGCCCGCGCGGGCATAAAGACGCAAAAAACAGTTTTCAATTAACTTATTATTTATTAAAAAAATATAAGTTTACGCTTATAAACATATTATTTTTGTCAAAAAATGATGATGTTTGCACACTGATGACAATTTGCGAAGTGACACTTTTTTCCCAGGTATTTATTATTCACAACCAACTGGTATGACATAAAACTTTGTATGCACCACGGGTACTAATAGATATATACCCTCGGGCGACTTACGAACCCTCGGGCCAGAGGCCCTCGGCTTTGTAAGACTGTCGCCCTCAGGGCATAATCATCTACTTAGTACCCTTGATACATAAATAACTATTATATACACCTAACTATACTGCCTACACACACCTTATTACTTTGAATTATTTGTAAGAACTCTCATGGTACTTTGTGTTTTACCTTTACTTTAGCCGGTTTTTCAATATTTGTACTTTACACTGCTATACTAATCACTTTACCACTGTCTTCTCTACTGCTGTTCTTTCTATTGACGATATGTTACGTTGACCCAAATTTTTTCGAATTCATAAGTACTTTGCACCATAAATTCTTCATTTCACATTTTTTTGTTTCAGTTCAGAAAATGCCTGGAGATTTCCTAGAGGTAAACGAACCACTCTACTATGAACAACTGTTCAAGGAATTTGGAAAAACCAAAGAAGATGTAGAGGATTTTATAAATATTTTGAAACAATGGGCCGATTCTCAACCGCATTTTCCAGAAAAACCAGGTAACGATGTCATACAGTTCGATTGAGAAATACAAATACAAAAATAAAATGGAATCTAATACTTCGGAGTTGTTCATAAAACACCAAGCATTTTATTAGGCATAAAATTATTGCATACATTAGTTTACGTCGCATTTAAGGTTGATAAACTTGTTACATTAATATGCGAAGTAATTATTATGTGTGTTAACATAATTTTAAAAATTCCATTCATCAGGTTACCCAGTTTGAGTGGAAGGGGTTGGTTATATTACACCACTATAGTGATTTAATGAACGCACTAGTGTTATAATGAAGGTATTCTTTACTTATTTTTCCTTAAAACAATACACACCCTGGCACGGAAACTAAATAATATAATCCGATGTTGAGATATTTGTCAGTACATTTAAATGACAACAAAATTTAGTAGTTTCTGAAATCGTAACTATAAAATTTTAGTTTTAAAAAATATTTCCACTAGCATACATGCGAATGTTTGTTACGGGAACTCGGAGGTTGTCCTTGTAATGTTGGCGTGTTCCTTAACAAAAACACTTTCTATAGTTTGGAGAATAATTACTACTTTATAAGCTCGGTCTAAACTGGTTCCTTAAGGACCTTAAGTCAGGTTAGGTTGAGCCCTCAATATTCCTAGCTCATTTCACACCAAGCAACCCTCTCAGCTGTTGCAGTGTTGCCATCAGCCAAATTTACTGATAGAACAGTTTGGGTATCATATTAAGTAGAAATTAGTTTGTTCCATGTTTGCTCATAAACTCACTAGAAGGGACACTAGTGATGTAAATGGTTTACCTAATTCTATCGGCATTAGGTACATCCACTCATTATTATTTATTTAGCTCATCACACATTAAGATTTGCCATCCTCTACAACAAATTCAGCATAGAAAAGGCGAAGCAAAAGCTAGACATGTATTATACGATAAGAAACTTGATGCCAGAATATTTTAGAACGAATCCTTTCACTGCGGAAATGGTATTTCAAAGAAAAGTATGGTAAGGAATCTATTTAATTGTTCTTGTAGAATTTGGGTCAGGCCCAAGCTTCACAAAAATAATTTGGAAACACTGCTGTCAATGTTTCGTAGTTTCGTGAAAATTTGAAGATGTTTAAGTTTACATGTTTTTCAGGTTTCTAGTTCCTCTACCAAAAGTGACAGGCGACCACATACGAATACTCTATCACAAATTGAACCCGGAATATCTAGATCCCAAATACTTCAGCCATGAAAAATTTATAATCTTGTTCATCCAGTTGGTTGAATATTTACTGAGAGAGGATTTGTGTTTTCGGTTTCACTATATCTGTGATTGTGCTGGTTGGAGCATTGGGCATGGTACCGGCATGAGTCCAATGGCACTTAAGAAAGCAACGGTTATTTTAGAAGTGAGAATCCTCAGTACATTTTCAACCAAAATTACATTTAATAATTTCTGAAATCGAACCTCAAATGGTCCGTTTTTTTTTTCTAGAAAGTTTTCTCCAATCGTTTGGCATCATTTTATATGGTAAACTTTCCACCATTTATGGAAACGATCGTTAACTCTATAATAAAGCCAATTTTGGTACCTAAAATACGAAATCGAGTAAGTTCTAGATAGTGTATCATTAGAATAATATTCAATTTTTTTTACCATCATAATTTTTTTAGCTTAAAATATCTGCTAGTCAAGATGTTCTGCTTGAAGTCTTTGGCAAAGAAATATTACCCACAGATTTAGGAGGTGAAGAAAAATCTGCTAAAGAATTGAATGGTATGTAAATGCATTTTTTTCGGATAATCAGTTTTCCATATTTTTGCTCAATTTTTTCGTCCCTCAAAATCGATAATATTGTCAACTACTTAAGTAAATACCACTCTGTACGTCAATTTTACTAAAGTGTGCCGACGAGTCAGCATTTATTTGGTATAAATATCGCGCTGAAATCCATTACCGGCAGACTAAGGCTAGTGCAAAGTACCTCAAATGGGAAAAGTCCCTCTAGCTAAGTCTCCTCCCAGTGCAAACTACCTTTAATGGGAAACGCCCTTCTGGGAATATTGAACACAGCAGACTAGGTCCAGCGCAAACTACCTTTAATGGTAAACGCCCTTCTGGACCTGTCTCAAACCTAGCTTCTTCTGGGAGCATTGAACGCAGCAGACTAGGTCCAGTGCAAACTACCTTTATTGGGTAACGCCCTTCTGGACCTGTCTAAAACCCAGTGTCATAATGTAGCAACTAATGCGCAACGCATTAGTGTGAATCTCAGTGAATCTGTACATAAGTATATCATATGACGTACAATAAAGGTGGCAGTTGTTACTTAGCATTCACAGAGCGTGTTTCATTCATTTCCCCCATCCTAAGTAACATACAACACCCAGCTTTAGACTTCAGTCATGCCAAGTGTATACAGAGGGTACATAATACAGAGTGGCCTATAAGTAGTACGTCCCTCCGTAGAAGAGACATCATGATACTATTTCTAGGGTAATATTATCATTATTCAATACATTATCTTATTATACCTATACCAAGCGAGTTTCTCTCTACCTGAACCCCACCTACGCCCCCAGATCACGCTTTTGTTGTGACGTCCCAGGACATAACGTATAGGTGTTGTGACAATATGTTGGTACTTACCCATCGCATATTTGGAAAACCACGAAGCATACCTTTTTAATCTTCACTTAGAGCTGAATATATTATGTTTTTTTTTCTCCCCAATCAAGCTAGGAAATTTCAAGCTCATTTTTCATCATTATCTATAGCACTGACTATTCACTATAACTGTAAAAGTCAGCAGTGAATTCTTCTTTTTCTGAAATAAATATGTTGCTTGATTTTTGATAATACCAACCTACTACTATTGTTCTTTTTGATAACGACCACCGGAAATTAGTCAACTCGCCTAATTTAACTATTGAATTGTCCAATTTAATTTTTCTAAAATTGAACGAAAAATTAATCGTTTGCCATTTAAAATACAAATGTTTTTTACCGTTTATTTTAGATATGCTTTCGAAAAAATACGAAGAACACAAAGACATGTACCTCAAATTGGAAAAACTCAGTGTAGACGAAACGTTACGACCAGCCAAACTTAGGAACGACGATATTCTAGGTTATTATGGAAATTTTAAGAAAATTAATGTAGACTAAAAAATAATCTTATCTGTAGGCAGGTATGTCTACATTATTGATAAAAAAAAGTTTCCAACAAACATCACTCAGTTTCATTAAACATGTATATTAGGTAGTTTAAAATTTAACTCTATTTTCTCCTGAATTCTGAGCACAAATTCATCTTTTAATCGCAAACAAGTAATGAGAAAGGCAAAAGCCCAAAACAATAAGAGCAAAAATTTATAAAATTAATGCTGACAGTTGCAGAAAACTCTAATCCCAAACGAAAAATTAATTCTAATAGTAAATTATACTACGACATCTCATCAGACAAAATAAAGAAGATTTCGTGATTTAAAATAAAAAAAGTCATTTTAAACCTACAAAGGAGCTTTTGTACAGGATTACAGAGGATTCTTAAAACAAATTTTCCTTTTTTTTTTAATCTTATCTTCTGCCAGGGCATCAGACAAGGCGCTTTGTGCCAGAATAGAGAGTTCACAATAGAAAGTGGAACGGAAAATTTATCAAATGTTCTTGTACGGTAGAAAATAAAATAAAGGATAATTTGAGATCAAATAGAAAATGGTATTTAGTAAGTGGCACATGCTGTGACACTCAATTTGAGAAGGATATTGCCAACCTCTACTCAGTTTTTATTTATTCATTCAACGGTTCGGTATAACCAAAGAATATTATAGACTAACTATAATATTCTTTGGTATAACCCAATTTTACCAATGATAAATCACGAAATATCAAAAAAACAAATATTAATAGGACTAAGACATATTTAAAAAAAAATCTCGGAAAACAAGTCAACACAAAGGAACATAAGATTAGGTGTAACCTAATTAACAAATGCTCTAAGACAATGAAGTAAGGTGCTGAATACATCCACTTCCAAATCATTAGCATTCATAAGCATTCTATTTAGTGAGGAATACTGTCCATAATTTGTTCGATGACATTGTAGTTGGAATGTATTAACAACCCTCAATAGTGTTGGATGGACACAAATGGGTATCAGCGCCAAAAGATCACTACCATCTGTACTATTAATAAGTAATATTTATAAAGAAAAATGTTATCTAGTACGCCTTTCGTTTAATGGTTTGATTTTTAACAAATTTTTAATATAATCGTACGTAATATTCTCTCTGCTTATATCCAACTTATAACTGGCATATCTTAAAAATTTATTTTGAACTCGCTCAATCTTATCCTTATGAACCTGGTAGTGGGGTGACCAAACACAACAATTGCTTTTCAAATTAGACCTTACTCTTACATACAGGGTTTTTAAAGCATAAACATTTTTGAAATCTTTGGTGTGTCGTTGCACAAATCCTAATATTTTTAAAGCTTTCTTACACAATATGTAGTCAATGTGATCAACAAATGTCAACCTACTATCAAATATGACTCCTAAGTCTTTTATCACATTTACATTTTCAGTCAAAGTATTATTACGGCTCTGGGGTGCGTGACAGAAATCTTGGGTTCGTTTATTCCAAAAATCAAAGTCCAATTAACATAACAATAATTTACTCCACGTTACTATACACTCTGACACTAATTAACTCAAAAAACTAAACTCTTCACAACTATTCCAATAATCACTATCTGAATCATATCACAGTCATTCTTGAAACTTAAAAAGTGCCAACTAATACCGGCCTTTATATATCCGTAATCCATTCTCAGCCAAAATCGGCTGTCGAATTCTGTATACCCTGGCGCTTCCGCCAAATTTTCGCGACAGTGCCCACCACTTAAGGTTGATCGTCCCGATCAACTTCGCGCCCATGATATTTCGTCAATCTGTCCAAATGTACCACTTTCATCTGTGTTGCGCTGAACTCGCTAAACCAAATCATTAATCCTCTTGATTATTCTGTAGGGTGTAGGGTCCTTCCCATGCTGAAGACAATTTCGGCGACACTCTTGCTGGATTATACAGCCACACTAAATCACCTTCTTGAAATCCGGCTGAATTGGCTTTCAAATTGTATTTGGTCAGCTGAATATGCTCCTGAGCTAACTCATGAGTCCCCAGAAGTCGTGGCCTAACTTCGTCGGCATAATCTCGAATTTCTGTTCGTTCTTCTTCAGGTTTTCCAAACATCAGATCACAAGGTAACCTAAGTTCCCTTCCAAAAACGATTTCTGCTGAACTTTCACCTGTTTGTTGACTCGTGAACAACTGTAAGCCATTAAAATTAAAGGCAAGTCCCAATCTCGCTGGTTCTTTGTGACCACTTTTGTGAGGTGTTTCTCTATATGGTCTTATTAAATCGTTCCACCATGCCATCAGACTGTGGATGTGAAGGTGTTGTCCTTGTCTTACGAATTCCCATGATCTCACAAATTTTCTTAAAGATGGCAGATTCAAAGTTTCGTCCCGGATCTGAATGTAATTCTAGTGGCACATCATGAATAAAAACTTCGTGCACTAGCACCTGAGCAATAGTGATCGCTTCTTGATTGGAAATAGCGAAAACTTCTGGCCATTCATTGGAGTAATCCATGATAGCAATTAACCAAGATGTAGTTGTTACTACGCTCTGACTCAGGAAACGGTCCAGCTACATCTATCGCTATTCTTTCAAATGAGAGTCCGACATTATACTGTTTCATGGACCCCCGAGATCTTATTTTAGGGCCTTTACTGATAGCACAAATATCGCATTTTCGGCACCAGTTTTTAACGTCTACATGATACTGGACCCAGTAAAAGTTGGAAAATCTGAGCCTTACTACCAAAAAGTGAGTGAACCTAGTTTGGGCAGTTTACCTTTAGAAATCGAGCAAAGCCTAAATCCAGACCGCAGATAGTCAAGGAAGATGGGAAATTTTCCAGTTCTCGGGGAGGCTGTAGCGATGACTTAACATTCTATTATCAGAACAAAGATTCCGGATCTGATGTGCAATGTTCTGGTCGAGGATTATGATGTGATTCTGCTGACGGAGACATTTTTAGACAGCAGTATATTATCAAGTAAGCTTGGCTTAGATGGTTAGTGTTCCGTTGTGACAGGTGCATTTGACTATCGATAGACAGTCAACATTGACTCCAGGAATATCTTATTGGTTAGATTTTTTAGCGGCGTCCCTGGCGCCATAGGGCGGCATCTCTGGCGCCATAGTGCGGCATATTTCTTTGAAGCGCCTGCCGCAAAGAAATCAGTTTCGTCTGGAAAGACAGTGCAGTAGATATTTTTTATAAATTTGATTTGTATGGTGCCTTATGTTTTATTTTAGATAAAAATGTTTTAATAAATTTCTCGTACTCCGCCCGTGCTTTATTTATTATTTTGTAGAAATAGTAAATGCCCACGTTTGAATTGAGAATAAGTGAAAAAAAATTTAGGGGCGTGTTTTTTTTTACAACTTTTATATCAAAATTTGGGTTAGTTTGGGTCAGTCCAAAAAAATTTGCGCGCCTCTGGGGCTTCCTTTCTGAGTGTGTGCACCGCCAACTTTTCCTCTCACCAGTCGTCACTGGACAGGTCAGAGAAAACTAGCGCTTGTACTACTCAGGGCGGGGTGCTCATCGCCATCAGAAATAGTTTTCCCTGCAGGTTGCTCGCAACACCTATAGATAATGTTGAACATGTGATTCTTATGGTTTCAATTGCGTCACAAAGGATTTTTATTGGAAATGTTTATATACTTGGAGTCTCTGGTGCTGATGTTTATGAAGGTTTCTGTTTGTCTGTAATGTATTTGGTTGACCAATGTGAATTCACTGACATATTTCTGTGGGGTGGGTTAATTTACCTAAGATTTCTTGGGTTAATAGGTGTATTATCTAAAGAAGTAGTTGCCATTTCTGATTGTGCAGCCTATTTGGGTTTGTTTCAACTCATTAATACTCCCATTGGGTTTGGTAATTTTCTTCATTTATTGTTTTGTAACCATATAGATTTACATGTTGTAATAAGTGATAGACCACTTCTGAAGCTGGATGCTTCACATCCGGCATTTAGGCTATGTAATGCACCACAGAGCAGAAGGATAGCGAATGATTATCTGTATTATAGGTTTAGGGATGCTGATTATCGACAGATTAATTTTTGTTTGTCCAGTGTTGATTGGGGTTTTCTGGATGATTGTGATGATGTGAATGTGGTTGCTAGTTCCTTTTATGACATCTTATATGACTTTATTGATAGGTTTACTCCAATATGTAGATTCAAAACACCTAAATTTCCTAAATGGATGGACAATGATCTCAAAAATATAATATTAGAAAAGAAAAAAGCTCATGCTCAATTTAAGAGAAGTATGTCAGATGACTATATTCTTTTTTCTGATTTGAGAACGCAGTGTCGTGAATTATCAAAAGCCTCTCAGACAAAGTACATACAGCATCTAGAGAGTCAGCTTGGTGACAGGCAGAGTTTCTGGAAGTTTGTGATATCAAAGAGGGGTGAGTATCCACAATGCATGGTTCTTAATGGTCATGAAAGTGATGATGTGCAAGAGATATCCGAGTTGTTCAGCGGGCATTTTGCTTCTGTATACACAGAGCATAAAGAATCTCCTATTGATTATGGGTGTAATAGGAAATCTGTGAATGTTTGTAATGTGGAAGTGAATGTAATGAACGTTTTCAATAAGATAGGTAATTTGAGGAAGAACTTGGGAGCGGGAGCGGATGGTATCCCGATTATTTTCTTGGAAAACAATAAATATGTTCTCTCTGCGGTTTTGTGTAAAATTTTCAACCTCTCACTTTGTTCCGGTATTTTTCCCACACAGTGGAAGTGATCATATGTGACACCTATTTATAAGGATGAAAATAGAGCGGACATCGGGAACTACCGCGGAGTATCGAAGGTTTCACTGTTTTCGAAGGTTTTTGAGACCTTGATAACGGATAATATTGGGCCACTCTTTCCACATATCTTCATTTCGGAACAGCATGGATTTCTTAAGGGTAGGTTAACCCTTTCAAACTTGTTATCTTATGAGCACACCTTGTTGGATGCTTTCGAGAGGAGGATGCCATCTACACGGACTTCTTGAAG